AAGGAGAAGCTCCAAAGCCCCCAACTCATCAAAAAAAGGTAATGGTTACGGTATGGTGGGCTTCATTTGGTTTAATACACTACAGCTTCTTAAATCCTGGCGAAACCATCAATGCTGAATCATACTGTAACCAAATTAATACCATGCATCAGAAATTGGCAGTAATGAAGCCCTCTTTGGTCAATCGGAAAGGGCCCATTTTGTTGCATGACAACGCTCGACCACATGTGTCACGTGTAACGTCACAAAAATTATTGGAGCTTGGCTATGAAACTTTGCCTCACCCACCCTACTCTCCGGACCTCTCGCCTACTGACTACCATTTTTTTAGACACCTGGACCACTACTTACAACACATAATATTCAAAAATCAAACGGAACTGGAAAATGCATTTATTGACTTTATCAATTCTAAAAATTCTGAATTCTACTCAGACGGAATTAATAAGTTACCAACACGTTGGGAGAAATGTATTGAGAGTATGGGAAATTATTTTGATTAAAGAACATTGCTTTAAAGTAACTAGTTTCTTTTTTTTTGTTTAATACCAAAATCCTGCATTATTTTCCGGACAACCCAATAGATAGGTTTGTAATTAATTCTGCTAATGTAAAAATTCAGGACATTTTTCAATTTCTTAACTGTTTATTCAAATAAAACAGGAATATTTGATGCTGTGCTTGTAGATTATTTAATAGGGTTTTTGAGCCCACAGGATGCCGAATTATAAACCGAGACCACAATCCAGTTAGAACCTGTAATTATATTGAATTCAGAGGATTCAACTTGAAACTCCGTCGGTGCGTTAAGACTTTACCAGTTGGAACATCGCTTAAGAAGCATGTCAACTGGCTAAATCTTCATTCACGAGAATTAGCAATCCCGGAATCGTGTTTCATGGCAGATCTTCGACAGATGTTTAAGATGTGTGTGAATATAAACTTTCAAAACTATGTTAAATCCCAGTTCGAAAAAATCTGCGAACTCGTACGCACTTCTTTCTTTTTTTCCCACCTTTATATCAATAATTGAAGTCAATTTTCAATTGTCTCTTACACGTCTCAAACATTTAGGGCTGTATATTTTAGTAAAAATTTACTAAAAAATAAAAAATAAACAAGAAAATTTGGTAAGTTTTTAACGAAACGACTGGATGGCCGTACACCAGTTAAGGAAAGCTTGAAAAAGGGTAGGAATGTCTGCGGTTATACTATGTAAAGGATGGGTCCAAAAACAATTCCTTGGGATGCCCCTGCATCCGCTTGATAGAGAGTTGCCACTGATTACTTGAAACTTTGGGTAAGTAGGATTTTAGAATCAGATAGAGGTAAAAGAACTATTTTAAAGCTGCCCCCTAGTGCCATACCCGATCGAAGGCTTGCTTCACATCTATAATCACGGGAGCAGCACTTTTGTCGAAGAAAAAACCTGAGAGAAAAAGGAAAGCCGAAGGACTTCCGTTGGTGGTGCACACATAGATATACAACTTCTTCTTTCCGTTTTGCCATTTATCACCTATAACATAAAACTCACCTATAGTCAGGTACATTATTTCAAACCATCACAGTTTTGCAACGAGCCTTTTCTCTTTTCCTTAAAGATGCTTGGAGAATTTACTACTACAGACCTACCTGTCTCCAGCACTTGTAACAACGACCCGTCAATTTCGGTTGAATTTGTAGCAATCCATGAACAAAATTAAGTAAAAATGATCAGAAATCATGTCATCCATACATAACCTTGACGATCAGTGGCATCCTGACGTCATAGATGTTCGATTTCTAAGTTTAATCATCTATAAAAGGTTAGCATTTAATGATTATGTTGGAAACAACATTACTGGCACTGTACACAAAGGGTAGTTAAATTTGAATGATGAATCTGGTATGGCTCTTTTGATTAATAACTGCGCAGAGTACAAACCTTTATGGTGATAACCTGCAGCACACTTAGGTGTTCATCAATCCTTCCTGACATCACTACTTTGACTTTACTCCGCCTATCAAATAAAAGCCAATGAGAATGCAGTGCCCTATTAAGACAACTTGCTTGAATCAGATTAGTCGTCGATTAATGAAGCAATCAGCCAACAGAAGTCACAAGCCACACGCTCCCTCAGCAGCGCTTGCTCACTTGACAGCCCACACGTCATAGGTGTCCGTGGCACCACTCTTCTTACTCGACACTAACCACGGTTTCAACAATGATCCAATGGCCACTTCTCATTCATATCGTACACACCTAAATAGGCAAGATGTACTGGCATACACCGTCGAACGGCCTATTCTCGCCCAGACGTGTTCATTCAACATTCTCGCTAATAAATACATTCATTAGGAAAAATAAGAGAAGTTGATTAGCGAAAGGACAGATTATATTAAGCCGTAAGCATTCACCGCTGGCCAATATTGAAATAAGTTCTCTGGATCTTTTTTTGATCCAAGGGTAGGCGATAATCGTTCTCTACAAATTTTTAATCCCTCTCACTCGCAGTAGGCTGAAGATGTCTACTAGCCCCTTCTTAATTGGTTTGCAATTTAAACGATATTTGTTTGGTGCAATTTTTTGTCTTTAATTTTGTTAATTAACGTTGTTTGTTTCTTTAAGTGTTATGTTTGGTTTTAGGTTATGCTATGTTTTGCAAGCTTTTATATTGGGGCGGTGTAATCAGGTTGTAATAAAGCAATTGGTCGAGAAATCAAATAAATGATGAAAATTGCAGAAATTGAGAAGTCGCACAGAGATGGGCTACGGCATGGCACCCTTAACACATCGAACTACTGAGCATTGGCACTACATTATATCTATAAAAAATATTAGCGTGTATATATTGTTTTAAAGAGTATAACTTTTAACAAGTCTAAGAGTGGAGGATAAAGAGGATAGAGGATTTGTTTTCAGTTGGGAACAGTCTGATCGACCATGATTCGATTTTTCCTAGAATGGCGATAAAGCTCAGCTTTGGCCATAACGTCTAGTCTGAATCTGACAGCAAACGTGTGCGAAGTATGTCAAAAATAACATGTTACCTGACTGGCAATGTCTGACTCGCCCATTCCTGACGGGGAAAAATAAACGCTCGCGTTGCTAAGAAGTGGAGCCCGTCCTCATCGGCTGACTCCGCCAGTCACCGTGTATTATTGATGTCAAACGTATTTCCTTGTATCGAACAAACCGCGACTCGAGCGTGACCCGACTCAACAAATCGGCTTTTAAACTTATGCATCTCTGAAATCCTCTTTTTTCAATATTGTGCAATTCCAATTTAAATTACGACCGCACATGTTATTGAATGAGAGTCAGGGCACAAAATCGATCACCGTTCACTATTCAAAAGATAAAGTCGATTAGATACACCCAGTAGTACAAATTGGTCTGAAGCCATTTTGCTTTTTCTAGGAGATACTATTTTCAAAACATCCTTTCCATCAGTCTCATTGTTAATAACTTCCAGTATTTGCCTCTCTGGCTTTATGATTGCTACTAGAATGTTTCCAACAATCTTTGATGACAGGTTACCTGCTTTCACCAATCTCTTAGTGAGCTTACAATATTGACCTCTTCTGACTATTATGACTGCTTCTAGACCTGTTTCCTCCAATCTCAATGTAAACTTACAGTATTTGCATCCTCTGGTTTTGATGACAGGTTACCTGCTTTCACCAATCTCTTAGTGAGCTTACAGTATTTGCCTCCTCTGGCTTTACGTCTGCTTCTAGACCTGTTTCTACCAATCTCTTTGTAAACTTACAGTATTTGCATCCTCTGGTTTTGATGACAAGTTACCTGCTTTTACCAATCTCTTAGTGAGCTTACAATATTGACCTCCTCTGGCTATTATGGCTGCTTCTAGACTCGTTTCTACCAATCTCATTGTAAACTTACAGTATTTGCATCATCTGGCTTTATGACTGCTTCTAGACCTGTTTTCAACAATCTCTCAGTGAGCTTATAATATTGAATTCCTCAGGCTATTATGACTGCTTCTAGACCTGTTTCCACCAATCTCAATGTAAACTTACAGTATTTGCATCCTCTGGTTTTGATGACAGGTTACCTGCTTTTACCAATCTCTTAGTGAGCTTACAATATTGACCTCCTCTGGCTATTATGACTGCTTCTAGACCTGTTTCCACCAATCTCAATGTAAACTTACAGTATTTGCATCCTCAGGTTTTGATGACAGGTTACCTGCTTCCACCAATCTCTTAATGAGCTTACAATATTCACCTCCTCTGGCTATTATGACTGCTTCTAGAACTGTTTCCATCAATCTCGTTGTGAGCTTACAGTATTTGCATCCTCTCACTTTACGACTGCTTCTAGACCTGTTCCATCAATCTCAAACATGTAGTTTGTAAAACTAGTTACAAACATACTCTCATTCTTAAATGTTGTTTCCTATTTATGTGCCGTTTACTCAAGTAGGGCATAGGAGTATCTTGATATTCTTTATCAATCTTCACTCTTGTTATAAAACTAATATAATTGAGTGTCGATGGGGTATTCAATATTCCACCATCTCACACTATACATTCTTGCTAATAAATACATTCAATCCAACCTTCAATCTGAACCGTTGGAGCCACCAATGACCCCTGAGCTTTCTTTTGTTTATATTGAGATTGAATGCATAGACATCCGTTCCTATCATACAATCATTTACCTGAAACTCAGCTTTAACAGCTAAAATATCTAATAATGTAATTTATAAACAGGTAGTGAAAACCCAGTTATATGGTGTAAAAAAAAATCTATTGCGTAGCAATTATTTATTTGTTTACTTTGAAAGATTTTTCAATAATATCGGGTGTATTTTTTGAAACATCGTAACCATACAAGTTTTAATAATATCAGTTAATAAATATCATACTTATTTAAGTACTTAACCATTAAAAAATATATTTGTAACAAAGGAAAATGTTTTGAGCATACAATATCGTGTAATTATCTAATAATAATAAAATTTATACAAATAATGCTTAAATAAATACTGTTTTCAATAATAATTTAAAAACAATTTTACTGGCCTTTATTGAATAATATTCCAAAAAATAAAACTATATATTACATACAGAGTGATGTGCTATTTTAAGTAATGTTATCTGCTTAAAAAATAATGCATTGGCATAAATAAACATATATTTTTTAATATGATGACTACAAATTAAAATACTGATGTTTGAGACTCATAAGTGTGATGGATTCTGTAAAATAATAAAATTTTATAAGCATAAATACCTCAGATCTGATACAAAAATAAACGTTTCAATAGAAACAAGACTATTCCTATTCCCAAACCCTTTCCCATATTTGAAATGAGTGCGGAATAAATGAACAAAACATTAGACTGTCGACTGCCACGCAGAGCCAAAACCAGCAGCTGTATCCGAGTCTGAGTCCTGTGCAGAGGCGCCTCGTTCGTGTGTCCTATCAGCAAGATGCGTCTTGGAGCTGAAGTCCTGCGCCCTCTTCGATTTGCGCTTTTTGATCGGGCCAAATTTAGGCGGTGGCATTTTCTTTTGTTCAGCCTGCAAATATGTAATGAGTAAATGATTCAGTCAAATTTAAAAAAATGTCTATAAGCATACACGCATGTACGTGCATGTACACTAGTACATTAGAGAAAGAGTGTAAAGGTTTCACAAAAGTACATAAATTTTACTAGTCAAAACCTTTGTTAAATTTTAACATGAATATGTGCTGGATACAAAAATTCTTTTTACAAGAAAATTAAGTGTCATCAATTCCATGTTGCTGAGGAGAGCTCGAGAGCGATAGGTTAAGTTAGGTTAGAAAAGGTTAGGTTTGGTAGGGTTAGGTTTTTTTATGGCATGGTCGAATAACGACCACTCTACTGCAACCTACAAATCTATGTGGAACTCCTATTATTATGGTCATTACGAATGCACTTTTTTCCGCAAAGGTAAGTGCCTAAGCACTGTCATCATTGGCTATTCTGTATACAGGTTAGTTTTTCACCTTCATGTAATGACTTTATGTAATATTCAGGTTGTGTAATATACTAAGTCCATTGAGAGCTATGATTTCTATTATCTCCCGTTCTGTACCGTTGAATCCTAGTTCAAAAAGATATTTTATTAGAAGGCCTGGTTTCAGTAGTTGAATTTCTTCTATGGTTATATTGTACATTCCAAAGCACTTCCTCCTTGCAGGCAAGTGTAGTTCCACAGTAAATAGATGCATCAGTGTTTTTTCTATTTTCTTGCAGAATCTAGACCATGTTGGATTATATCAATCTTCTTTGAATGCCTATTCAATCGGCAGTAATCTGTTAAGGTTCGAAGGTTTTTCCTGCTTCTTTTGTTGCATTCTGTTGCTTCTTTCCTTCTGAAACTCGCCAGAAGGTTCTTGGATTGTTAGTGATTTCTATTATTTCCTCACTTTTATCCTGTCTTTTGTCTAATGTACTTATTGATAGTGTGAATCCCTATCTCAACTTGGCCATTTTCTTCACATGGTAGGCCAGTATAGAAGCTATATTCCTCCATATTGTTGATAAAGAGGACTTCCTTCGTTTTCCTTTCTAGAGAGATTTATAAATCTTTTAAACCTGCCTCAAACCTGGTGCTTTTGTCCAGTGCTTGAGTTGTTTCTTCTCAACATATTTTTCCAGCTCCATCTTTAAGTACACTTTCTCATTAGATTGAGTTAGATTTAAGGATTATATAGGTAAAATATATATACGATTCAATGATTTTACTTGAAATGGAGAAAATATGGGAACTCGATTTGGGCTTTTTTCCCTAAAAATTTAACCATCTTAGAATCAGCATTTGCATTTACTGACAATACTACTTTTTTTGTTGACTTCAGCATTTATTCACATCCTCACAGTTTCAAATTGCCGCCCTTTTAAAAGAAATGTGTCATTACAGGAAAAGGTAGCGCAACATCAGGGATATAAGCGAGTCAAGGCAAGACATTGATTTTCTCCCTCTATGCGATTAATTTCTGTGTCAATGGGAAGAAAATAATGTGTAAGTATGAGTAAGTATTGACACTGTGATAGTTTGAAATCTATCGAGCTGCTGAATAAAAAGATAATATAAAGAAAAATTTAATGCAGCCTTGCACAATTATTATATTTGTCTTTTGTTCCAATATTATCTTGCTTATTGCAAGTTAGGGAGTTAATTGTAAAAATAATTAAAGAGTACAGCTGTATAAAAGAAATTGTCAATGTAAATTTAAAATAAGGCAAATAAGCACTAATATAATGTAGTTTACTAAAGAAATAAATAAGGTTTTTATGCACAAGGACTTATATAATTATAAATAATTATTTATAATAATAACCTACATGCAGTCATGCTAAAAATTATGATTTGAAAACTCAATAGTGCTTATTCTTGAATGCTTAATTGATGAAAATTAAGGAAACAGAGAAATTGAACGACTGAAATTCAAAATATCTTGGAAATTTTGGTGCTTATCTACACATTCCAAAAACAAGTGAACTAAGCAGTACCACTGGCGTTAATCACATACCACCTCCAACACACTACCACCATTTGGAAGATGATGCTTCTACTCCACATTTCTGAAACTGTGTTCTGAAGTTGATCAAAAATTCGACCAAGGTAATTTCAACGCTATTTATAATTTTTTAAAAATTTTATTAATATATATAAATTTGTAAAATGTGGCATTTTTTTCACCTGGTGGAGATTGTCAGCAGAACCCCAATTCTTGTGAAGCTTATCTGTGTTGCCGACGCCTAGAAAATTGCTGAACGCTTCAGTTGTCCGTTTGACTCTGACGTTCAGCGAGCCAATTCTCAAAAATCCAAGATCTTTCTCTATAAAAGAAAAAACAACAAGTGAATTTTTGTGGCACTATTTAGACATCTCCGACCATCAAGGTATGCTTATTCTCGTCGCATTTCAGAATTTCGCCAACTCTGAAGAAAACCAGTGAAAATAAGCACGGTGAGATGAATGGAAATTGACGTGCAGCTGCATAATAATACTGTGAGATTTCATGATGAACCTGTAATTGGGTTGTTCAGGATTATTTTCATTTAAAACCAAAAACAATCAGTAACAGCCAAATTAAAGGTGCATAATAAAAGTTAACCAAATTTTTGAAGAAAAATATTGAATTCTTATTTTTTAAGTATTATGTTACAGCTTATTGTCAACCCATAATGTTTAGTGGTCATTATTGACCATATTAATTTTAATTAATTATTCTTTTTATCTAAGGTCTTGGTTGCGATGTAAAAGTTGGTGTCACGAGCGGGATTTGAACCCACAACCTTCGGCTCAACACGCTGCTGCTCTAACCACTTGAGCTGCCACGACAAAGCCATTGCCATAAAAGGAGATGTGGTAGGTTCTTTGAATGGAAAAGTGTAGATAGGCTTTGGCAATAGGGTTAGGGTGAGAGCTTGGTATGGAACTGAGGTGGGGTAGGATCAATTCCGTCTTCAGTGTTGGGAGAAACCAGTCAATGATGTACATCAATGCGACAGATAAAGCAATGTTGTCATTTGAAGATTTTTCAGAATAGGGTATTGTAGACAGGACTTGAACAGCAAGGTTAGAATGAATTGAATGATGAATGGATCAGTTAGTTTGCTTAAAGAGTGTTCAGGTCATTGTGGATAGTGAGGTTAGTGATATATGAAGCTTTACAATTCTTTTGAAAAGTTTTTATTTCAATGATTGAATACGTTAAATATTGAGTGGTTTGATGGAAACCCACTGTACCCTTCTTACGTCAGTTGGATGAAGATGCTATTTTCACCTTGTCAAAGATACTGTAGCCAGAATACACATGTTAAGAAACCTGTGTGTCCTACCTGGACATCAACGTGACAGTCATGAAGTCTCAAAGCCATAGTTGACTCTTTGAGATGATGTGACCTTAGGAATAATGGAGTCACTAGTTCTTGGAAAAAATAGCCAAAGATTCATATTACATCACTAACCTCAATATAACCTAATTATTTCGATGGGAAAGAACAGAAAGGGTTTTAGCGTAAGTTAAGGATGGATCCAAAGGTTAGAATAATTGAATTATGAATGGATCAATTCAACGATTCAAAGAATATTCAGGTCACTGTGACTTAGTGAGTAGTTCAATCTGAGGATGTTTTGAAATATTAGAGGAATGGATATTGGATGACTTAGTTGAGCCCCACAGTTCTGCTACATTTGTTCAAAATGGCCACAGTAATGTTTTGAATAGAGTTAGTTGAGTTTTGATGGTCAAAACATATTTCAGTCTTACAAGTTTCTAGGTGTCCAGTCGTCTGTTAATTCTTAAGTCTTGTGTGAGGATTCCACATCAGTAAATAATTGGCTTGGGTGGTGGTTAGCTCCTGGGTACATTTGTCATCAAATTGTCTTTGATAAACTCAAGAAGTTGTTGGAGGTTGCTTGGGTAGAATTCGTGTTAGAAGAAAGAATTTTGTTATTATCTGCATAAATGGTGGTGTTGGTATATGTAGGAGAGTTAGCAGTATAAATGGTAAACAGAATGGGACCAAGAATGCTCCCTTGTGGGACACTGTCTGTATAGGTCTGAAATCTAAGTACTCGTTGCTGCACCTGCATCAGTCAGTTAAATAAGATTGCAGAATATTATAATAAGAGGTGGGTAGGAAGTGTTTAAATTTATAAAAAATTCCTGGGTGCCAGACTATCAAAACTTCAGGAAAGCACCCAAGCAGTTCTTGTTGGTTTCAACGACTCTGAAACCTTGCTAAATGATGGGACGATGGGGAAAGAAGCCAAATTGGTGAGATGACGTAATTATGAAAAGTGTTCTAATGTATTTAAAAAAAGTATCAACATGAATTTGATGAGTAAATACGAGATGATCAATTACCTGCTTGTTTTTTCCTCGCTTTTATTTCTGAAAATGAAAATTACTTGAATTAATGTCAAAATTGTACAAAAACAAATCGGTTTATGTGCGATTACAAATAAACAAAAATTATCCAACCTGCATGCACGGTAAAAATGACATGCAGCTAATTTTACCTTAAAGAAGAATCCATGCAAAGTAGTAAATTTGTGACTAGTTAACTAAACTAGTTTCCACAAGGGTGTTAAAAAGTAAACCAGTACTAAACGAAATGATTTATTTTCAACTAAAGCATGCATGTAAATATTTACAATTTTTACATTAAATTTTAAACACTCATTAATAAATTATTTCAATGTGAATTCAAGTGGGGGAAAGAAAATAATACTTGCCCTTTTACGAACTCAATGCGAGTTCCTAGAAAATAATCGTTTATAAATATGTGTATCATAAAATGCTAATAACATGCCTTAAAATATCAATAAACTTAGAAATGTGACAATTGATTTTTACAAATAAATTGTAAACATGATTATAAATAATAAGTATAGCAATAAAGAGAAAATTTAACAAAAAATAAAGCACAACTATGACTAAAGCAAATTTACAAAAATGCATATTTTTCCTTTCTTAAAAAAAATATATATATATTACTAACTCATGCAAAACTTATTTCATGCAGGGGTGCATAGCTAAATATGTGACTAATTATTTCTCTTTTGAAGTTATTGTGTTTGAAAATAAGAAGCGACCAAGAAAGAATGGTTCCTCTTTTTGCGCCTGGTAGTTGATCCAGGACTCCAGGATCCGTGCTGAAAAAACGAGGCAGCCCTTGCCCTTTTGGCTCTCGGCTGTTTGTACTCACTTCTGAAAGTGTCTGCTGATACCGACATGCCCTTGTTTGTCTGATATTGTCTTGCTTTCTTTCCGCTCCAATCTCTCAGGTGAGGGTCAGCTCCTGTAAAATGAATGTCATCAATACAGCTTCATTAAGAGTTGCAGCGGTTGGAAAACTGATATTTGAGAAAAAACTGTCACAATGACAGGTGGTTTGTTTTTGAGGGATCAAAGTTTAAGCGAGTTGCCCTGAAACCTAGTTCATAATTTGAACCAAGTTCAGAGAAGGGAGCATTGCACAATCTGTAGGATCACCATTCAACAGATCCTAGTTCAACTAGATAAAAGCACGACTGAACAAATCCCTCTCCCCAAGAGTCTGAAACATATGGGAAGGATCGTGTTAACCCAATTCAGGATCGGCCATACCTGTCTGACATATGGACACCTGTTGGTCAAAACCGTTTGTAGAGAAAGGCTGTTCAGTGTGTCACATTTGTTCGAAGAGTGCCATGCTTTGGTTCCTTAAAAGGAGCGAGTAGGCATGAGCTCTGACATAAAGATGGTACTAAGGTTCTCGATTAAAAAACCGAACAGGGAACCCAACATTTGACCTGCCCACCTGAGTACTTTATGTCAGAGCCTCATGTTCCCTCAGATATAAATGTTGCATATACTGTGTATATTTATTTGCAAATAATTTATAATTTTAAATATATTATATACACTGATGGACAGAATTAACCCACCACCCTTAAATTTTAATATATTTAAGTTTATTTATATTTTGTATACCAAAAATACGTTTGGTTGTAAAAATAAGACGTTTAAAAAGAAAATTTTAATTATCCAATTTTATAAAAAAAAATTTGAATAAAAAAGCTTTTTTGTCCCCTTTAATACCGACCATTTCCACCCCTGGCAAGAATCACGCCTGTTAAACATCTTTGCATCCTTTAGAAAAGTTTTCTGGTAAAATCCAGAGGAATTCTTTCCCATTCATCAAGAATAGTCATTTGCAACTTTTCTAGGGTGTTAGGACCTGGGCATCGCTGTCATACTAATCGCCTAAGATGGTCCCAAATTTGTTTGATTGGGTTCAAATCTGGCCACACATTCAGGCTGTCATCCACAATAGAAGCTCTATGGGGCTTCACACTGTCCAGCATTAACAGGAATCTCTCACCGAAGTGGACAGCAAATGGCCCTACATGTTCTTCGATTATGTCTTGTAAGTACATCTGTAAAGTTAGAGATCTTCCTTGCACAACAACCAATTCCGTGCAGGCGTTCAAGGAAATACCGCCCATCAATGACCAAGCCACTTGAGGAACCAGACAGCATAGGGCGTAACCTTTCTCCTGAGCATCTCCATATGAAATTACGCCCATCTGAAGACTGGGACTAATTCGGACAACTCTCACTTCATCTATAAACAAAACTCGTCCCCAATCTTTCAGCCATTAAAAAGGTTTAAGAAAAGAATAATATCAACTGAAATCAACGAAGGAAAAAGATTAACTGCAAGCGATCTTTAGGAGTAGCTGAATTGAAGGGCGTAAAGCTATTTTTGGTGTAAATGGGATTAATCAATAAGTAAATAAAGGAAATAACCAATGCATAATTTATCGTTTATTTTGACAATAGCTTTATTATTTGAAACTAATATAGAAAGATAATGAATTTAAATATAAGCTAAATAAATTGAGTGGTGGGTTAAATTTGTTCATAAGTCATTTCTTTGCAATAAATTTGTAAATAATTAAATTATTGTATGTGTGTGGTGGTTAGTGACCGTTAGTCGATGATCATTCAAAAATCGTGAGATGCGGTCTGGTGTGATGTAGGTTTCAGAAAAACATTTTCTTTATCGTGCCACGTTTCGAGCTTTATTGAGATCATCTTCAGGGCCTGGGATCTACGAACATTGTTTACATTAAAAAAAAAACATGTAGGATGTGGAAAAAAGTGAATTTGCATTGTATAAATTCACTACAACACACCAGACCGCATCTCACGATTTCTGAATAATTATTGTGAGTATGTAATTAATTAAATTCACTAATTTCGTGGTCCGCTTGATCAATTACAATTAATTAAGGTTTTTAGTTGAGATGAAAAAAAGTTAATGGCACGAGCGGGATTCGAACACACGATCTTCGGCTAGATACGCCGCTGCTCTACCACTTGAGCTATCGTGACCTCGATCCACTCGGACACCAATTTCCCATCTCAACCGCACCTTTTTGAATTTTCCCTCCTTTTTGCCATTTTTCAAATGTCGTGTAATCGGGTTGGATTCTCGACGACAAATGAAATTCAAAAAGGTGCGGTTGAGATGGGAAGTTGGTGTCCGAGTGGATCGAGGTCAGGATAGCTCAAGTGGTAGAGCAGCGGCGTATCAAGCCGAAGATCGTGGGTTCGAATCCCGTTCGTGCCATTGACTTTTTTAACTCAACTAAAAACCTTAATTAATTGTAATATGTGATTAATGTGCAGCATAAGGCCGATGGCGGAATGTCATATACTTCATAGATCAACCAAAAAGAAATTTTAGTCACAAAATTTACTAACAAATAAAATATAATTTTTGGAGTTTTATCACGTGAACTGCACACCAATAAATGTGTGCATTAGAAAACAAAGTTAAAAGGCTTTAAAAAAAATAAGAGCTGCGCCAAATTGATCCATATATTTGCATTTTGGAGTAATTGAGCTAATTGAGAATCGTATCTGGCACGAGGAACATATTGGAACTGAATAAACACATAAAGTGACTGGTTGTTTTAAAAAAAAAGCGGATTGGGTCGCAATTTATCTGAGATAGCGGCGTATTTGAAAGCGCCTGGTAAACATTAATAACTGGGTGTTTAATGGTGCAGATAGAACAGGCCTATCAACTCGTGTTGACATTCCTCGATTTCATTTCCACAACGATAGAACCAATTACGAATTATCTCGTAATTCCCGACCGGCCGAGTCAAGTTTGACTTTGTTTCCATCTATGTACAATACGATTTATAATTGACCGAGAACTTACCGTATACTTCCACGAGGAGATTGTAGACGTCGTCGTGGCCGTACTGCATAGCTATGTGAAGAGCGGTGAACCCCTAAAACAGAATAAAATAAATATAACATTAAAATAAAGCTCGAGGAATGTAGAGTAGTGTAGTTTATTATCAACCCCTTGCTGTTATATTCAATGTTCGGTTTGTGCCTTGCCTCACCCTGTTTATAACCCTGACCAAGTACAAACCAAATCTGAAGATGTCGCGATGCGTCTTTGATACTAAAACAACGAGGGAAACGACCAAACCACAAATTATTTCTCAATAAAATATGCAAAGGACAAATGAAATGAAAGAACAGTGTACAATAGAGGAGGTCATCAATATAAGGTAAAGGTCCCGGGTTCGAATCCAGCGGCCAGGTTTTTTTTTTCAAAAATACCAACACCCTGGGGTTTGACCTCTGCTGTTGCAAACCCTCGTAAAAAAATTTAAAAAATCAATTGAGGTTTTGAGGACGTAGTATTTGGAATATTGAGTGTGTTGTTAAGCCGGATACGAAGTAGGCAGCTTGGGACTGGAGTCACTAATTCTTTTGAGGTTGGAACGCTTGGTTGAACTCAACATTTCAAATCCTTACATTCAGATTGCCTGGGGGTATTTTCCAATGTACTGTTCCAAATAGTGGACGACATTGAGCTGGGAATGGAAAAGTGTAGTAGATTGAAGGAGAGGTGATAGGGCGAAAGGTAATTTGCAGAGATTTGGTTTCGTTGAGTCTGATCCTCCATTTCTTGAACATTCTTCCAAAGGGGAGAGATGAGCCTAAAGGTTTCTAAAGATCACAACTGTATCTGGGTTTGCTGTAAGAATGGCGGAATCGTTTGCATATGAGTAATATGCACATATTCAAAAATGGACGATGTAAAATTTGCAACGTTTGCTGATGACACAGCGGTGATATCAGCGACCAAACTCCTACACAAACGAAACACCATTAGAAGGTTGAAAAGAACAAAGCTATACAAACTAGTATAATTAATAATCTTATGGTACGAATTAGAATATACGGATGGGGATAAAATAGGTGGCCATAAGGCCCTCTGCACCACTACCTAAGTGGATTTATTGTGCTCTTCTATTTTCATAATTCACTGGCTAGTTTCAGGTTGTTAAATCAACCTCCATAGCCTTATCAGAAGATTTTGGATTTGGATTTGTACAAGTATGTACATATATACCAATATAGGCTTCTCATAGGCAATTCTAGCTTTTGCTAGTTACAGTAAATTGCCGGCAGACTCGAGAATCACCCACCCCGTGTGTTGGCAGTCGGGGGGCAGACCTCAGTCTTAACCGTCCAGTCACCTAGGTTGGGCTCCGGGGGGGGGAGGCACTGTCAACAGCTAGGTCAATTCACCACCCAAAGCATACAGTTCCAAACCCATTCGTTCATTTTTAAATAATTCACTTCTATTTACATTCCATTCATTCAATTAGGGTGATGGAGTACTCGATATTCCTCCATCACCCTTTACACATATTATAAAACTAGCCTAACTGAGGGTCGATGTGGTATTCGATATTCCGCGATAGACCCATTCACATCAAACATTCACGCCAATAAATACATTCACACTCAACTCAACCTTTACACGTACTATGCACCTTACATAATCTAAGGTCGATGGGGTCTCGATATTCCACCATCGACGCTCTCACATAATAAATTCACGCTAATAAATACATTCACTCACGCAAACTAAGCATACACAACTATTATAACTATGTACAATAGAACAATCCGGTTTCATGCACGAATCGGAACCTAAATACTCGCTGCCGTGCTCAAGTACAATCTCTGATATTCCTGCGCGCTCTCTGTATGGAGCCAGGGAATCGCCCCTTCATTAAGTGGTACACTTCGAGCAACCTTTCTCTGTTTGCCGTACACATACGCAGGATTTGCCCCGAAAGTAAGTGTGTCAACCTCGCATGGCCTATTCTTAATCCGGTGAAGATGACCCTTTTACTACGAGTCAGATCCTCCGAGGGCCATGGGGCTGGTGCTTTCGTCCAGTGTAGAGGTTCTCTTTCTCAAGTCATTTTTCCAATTCCAACTTAGCACACACTCCGGTGTACCAAGTTGTGGTTATGGTACTGTTGGTAAGAGGGCTGCCTCCTTTTTGGCTAGTTGGTCAGCCTGTTCATTCCTTCTATATCAAGATAACCACGTTGTTTTTCTAGAGCCATTAGGCAATTTAGGAACTACCACAAAAGTTTGTAGCTGAAAGCATACGCATTTAATGCCTTTATAGCTGTCAGACGGTCTGAGAGTATTTAAATCTGATAACCTTTTATATTTTTCTTTGTTAACTCCTGTGCATAGGAGATCCAGGTGTTGCTTGGAAAACGGTTGGGATTAGTCCAAGGGTATTTCATAGCCTACAACCTACAAATCTATGTGGAACTCTTACGATTATGGCCATTACGAATGCCATTTTTTCCACAAAGATAAGTGCATAAGCACTGCCTCATTGCCTCTTCTGTATAAAGGTTAGTTTTTCACATTCATGAAGGATGTAGATGTAATATTTGGTTTGTGTAATATACTGCGTTCTTTGAGCGCTATTGTATCTCCCGTTCTGTACCTATAGCACACTGTTGTTCAAAAAGATATTTTATTAGTAGGCCCGGTTTCAGTAGTTGAATTTCTTCTACGGCTATGTTGTACATGCCAAAACACTTCTTCCTTGCGGGCAAGTGTAGCTCCACAGTGAGCAGATGTAAGTGTTGAATGATATCAATCTTCTTTGAATGCCTTTTCAATCCGCAGTGACCTATTAGGGTTCCAAGGTTATTCCTGCTTCTTTTGTTGCATTCTGTTGCTTCTTTCCTTCTGAAACTCGACAGAAGGTTCTTGGATTGTTAGTGATTTCTATTATATCCTCACTTTTATCCTGTCTTTTGTCTAAGGTACTTATTGATAGTGTGAATCCCCGTCTCAACTTGGCCATCTTCTTCAGATGCTAGGTCAGTATAGAAGCCATGCCTGGGGCTTTTTCACCAGTGCCTGAGTTTTTTCTTCTCAAGACATTTTTTCAGATCCATCTTTAAGCACACTTTCCGCTTAGATTAAGTTTGAGTTAAGAATAGGATAGGTTTCCATGATTCCATGATTGTGAAACGGAGAGAATACGAGAATTCGAAATGTGGGTTTTGCTAAAAATTTAACCATCTTAAAGTCAACATTTGCATTTAAGGACAATACTACTATTTTTTTGTTGACTCCAATATTTATTCACATTGTCACTTTTAAAAGAAATGTGTCATTACAGGAAAAGGAATGCAACGTCAGGGATATAAGTAAGTCAAGGCAAGACACTTGATACGCGAGAGCTGCTCCGTGGCAGAATAATATGTACATTTGTGTATGTTACACAACATATTATAAACATGTTTAGCAAGGCCAGTTTTAATAAATAAAAAAAGGAAAAATGATCATATTGAACACATTAAAATAGAAATTCATTTCTTGCATTTTCACCAAAACCAGTTTCAACTTGAATTTTTGAAGTATTTTCCATTTTGCACCCTGGCTGAATCTCCAAATAATTTTTTAAAAATTTTAGTTTGTTGATATTCCCCCTTGATCCTCTTTTGGGGTAACACGAGTCGAAATTGTGTTTATAAATAAATCCCATTCGCTCCTAAACGTATTTATAAAAGAGCTTTTTAAATAATACAAGAATAGACTCGCTGAAAAATCTACTCGTCGGCCGTCTTAATAATGATTAACTCCCGGACAGATTTTTAAACGTCATTTTTACCCAAACATTTATAAGAATGGTAGCCGTCTGACAAGATGCTGAAGAGCAGAGAGGCGACACAACAGGATTAATGCAACCGGGGTGGCTATTTATAAAATTGGAACGGAATGGGATGTAGTTGTCACACGGGGCAAGATGTAATTAGGCGAAAATGCCGCCCGAACAAGGATTTCCCACTCCTGTCTCAGGATGATAAAATATTTATAATACGTAATAACACGGCTATACTAATATTCTGACATATGTTAGTTCATCTTTGGCAAGCCCAGGGCTGAAAGAGAAGTGTTATTTGTGTAAATTCCACGAGTCAAGTCCCAGGGGACATCGTTCAACAAATTATAATTAAGGGGAAATATTCACATGGACATATCGAGTAAACGTTCTGTGGAGAGCTTATCACGGTGAGCATATAATAACAGACTGCAAAGACCTAAGTCAGCAGAGAAAATACGACATCTCGAACGACCTATGCGCAGCCTTGAGGCACCGCAGCAAGCACATTTCTTATTTCTTAGGGTCATAAATACTTTTAGTTGAATATGGGATCTTTGTATGCATTGATATGTTATTTATTGGAACGAATGTATTTATTTGCGTGAATGGAGAGGCTTGTTCCCCAAATACCCCGGGGGATATCGAGTACTCTGGGAAGTGTGAATGATTTGTGCTGAGCAGATGTTATTTATTAGCATGAAAAGGGTTTGCTCCCAGTTAACCCGAGGAATATTGATCACTCTGGGGTAGATGGTATGGTGATAAGGACATTAGGAAGCGGGGTTTGTGTTCCCCAGGCACTGCAGCCTTCTGGCTTATTGTACCTTCCTAGTTCCTTAGTTCAGTGCAATAGATTCAATCTTTCTCCTTAGAAGTATCAGGTCATTGACTATCGCTGCTACAATTTTATTCCCTAAGTTTTTTCCTATGTTAGGTTGAATCTCCGTTGAGCTGTTGCTAACATTCGAAGATGATATGGGCGGCTGTTTCCTCCTCGTTACATAATCAGCAGATGGCATCGTTGTTTGTCCTCTGAGTTTAGCCCTCTCCAATTGCCGTAACGATTTTGCCAGTCTTGGTGATGGTTGTTTCATCATAATTTTACTATGTCTAGCGCCGCTAGGGTTTATCCACTTCTCCTTTTGTTTTGTTTGAATCCATTCTGCGATGGAGGATTCTATATTTGTTTTTGTTATCCCAAGTATAGGTTCGGGGCCTATGTATGGCCATGCGGATCCTCTGGCCAGTCTGTTTGCTTTCTCGATACCCAAAATTCCT